CGGAACAGAAAGGTAGTGGTCCAGCAGCTTCCGAGGCTCCAGGTACGTCTTCTTCTGCTGCGTCAGCCTCGGCAGCACGGTCGGCGAAGGAACGAAGTCCCGAGAAGCCGTCGGTGGGGTCTTGTGTGTTGGCAATGTTGTCCAGGTAATGCTGCAGCGTCAGTCGCTCGTAGAAGATAACATCACGTGATGCCACTGTATTTTTGTCTTGTATGTCGAGGATTTTCCATGCGTGAAAATGTTTTGCGATGCCGAGGTGTAGTCCCCATCGAGCTCGTTGAGTGAAGCGTCCTGCTCGGGCGGTGTGGGGTCTGTACTGTACCATGCAGCCGAAAACTCGAAGTAATTTTGTGCTGCCCCGTTTTCGTGTCCACAGGAGGTGCGGTGATGCGTTGTTGGGAAGCGATGACGAGGACAACAGGTTGTGCAGGTGAACTGCATGGGTCATCGCGTCTGGCCACAGTGTGGTGGGCAGCCTCATCCCAAGGAGCAGCTTTCGCATCGTCGTCTGCAAGGTCCGGTTCATGCGTTCTGCGACCCCCTGCTGCTGGTGAGCGTATGGCAGAGACACCAGGCGTCTGATTCCTCTTTCCGCCAGATAGGTCCTGAAGCGTTGTGACTGGTATTCCAGTGCACCGTCTGACTGGAAGCTCTTGAGCTTGGTTTCTGATTCTCGTTCGGCGATGGGGAGCCATGTTGTGAAGGCGTCGAACGCTTGGTCGCGCGTCTTGAGATTGTAGTGCCAGACATATCTGGTTGCTGCGTCGATGAACGTGATGACATAGTTGAAGTCTGCTTCTGTGTCTTCTCGAGGCATGTTTAAAATATCGCTGTAGACTTTTTCCATCGGTGCGTATGCAGGTGCGCTTGGGTTGTGATGAGATGGAAAGGACTGGTGGGGAAGATCGGCTTCGGGGCACGTGAAGCACCGTGCGCGTGGTCGTCGAAGTTCTTGGCCGCTTGTTGTTAGGAGGGCGTTGCGTTCTAATACTTCGGCTTGGATGGTTTGTAGTATTGTACTATTTGCAGGGTGCCCGAGGCGTTGGTGCCAGATGTCGTCGGGAGCGCGATGGCCGGGCGAACGGTGGTATATGTCGGTGTTGGAGAAGAACGCGACGACTGTGGCGAGACTTCGACAGACTTCTCGTGTGATGGGCATAAGCTGGTCTGCTTCGGTTGGTGATCCTCGGATCGCTGGTGGTTGTACTCGGCTGGGTCCTGCTGCTGCGACTGCAGGTGATGGTTGGGAAGGGACACTTGCTGGTACTTGTCTTTCTTGTCTGATGACTGCTAATGCTCGTGTTCTTTCTGCTGCGGGTATGGTGTTGGAGTGCCAGAATCCGTCAGGGTCGAAGTCGGAATCAAGATCCGGCGGGTGTATCCAGGCGCCGAACGACACGATACCGTCGCTGTCGGCAGTACCGCGGTCGGGGACGAAGTCCAACACGAAGACGCCGGACTTCAGGAGAGCACGACCGATGAAGAGGCCGCCCTTCCCGTGGTAAAGTCGAAACTCGTTGGAGTAGGAGTCGCACTCCAGGTGAATCCCTTTGGCCATTAGTTGGCTTACGCTTAGTAGGTTGTATCCCAAGTTGTCGACAATGAGGACTTTGTTGAGCTGAAGTATGACGTTTGTCTCCATGGATTGTAACTGAACCACGCCTTGTCTGTTTGTTTTCAGGTTTTCGTTGTTGGCGACGGTGATGATGACGTCGCGGTTGAGTCGTTTCTCTCGTTGCACGAAGCGTCCCGAAGAGCACATGTGTTGACCGCAGCAGCTGTCCAAGAACCAGGTGTTGCGCCCGGTGGATTCGGCATATGTTGGATTAACTTGAAGTCCTTGTGAGCGCGGTGGCGGGAGCTCTTCTTCGTCTGGTGCGTAAGTGGGTGGTGATCCGGGTGTGCAGTTGTCGATGTGTACCATGCAGTTAATAATGTTTGGTGTCTGTTGTGCAGATGTTGAAGATCGCCTTGGGGGACTTTCTTGAGTGGAAGCGACTTGTGGGTCTACTGGACGATAAACGCGAGGGCGTGTGCAGTTGACCTTGGAGTGCCCGGAAGTCTGGCAGTTGTGGCAGAACGGCGGCACGAAAGTAAGTTCTCTGTTGTCGCGTTGATCTTGCTTGCCGCGTCGATTGTAGTTGTTGTCGTTCCTTCGTTGAGTGTAGAAAACTAACTGCTGCTGCTTCCTTGGTTGTCTTTCTTCGAACAGGTCCATCTCCTGTTGTTCAGCGTGAAGCTCGGCGCAGAGGTGCATCTCCGAAATCCTTCCGTGGGCGCGAAGAAGCGATCGTGTGGTTCTCCATTCTGGCCCGAGCCCGGCGAGGACAAGCGTTACGAAGCTTTCTTCAGTGATTGTTCCTCCGCACCGAAGCAGGCGGTCGCGGAGGGTCTGGCAGCGACTCATATACTGCATCGCCTTTTCTCCGGTCTTCATCTGTATTGTTGTCAATTGTTGCATGAGTCTGCTTTGTGTCACGCTGTCGTTTGCTTGATAGAGGCACTTGAGGTGATGCCATGCGAGTTCTGCGGAGTTGCCATAGCTCCAGTATGTTCTGATGCTCTGCTGTTCTTGTGGTGACAGGTTTCTCAGGAGAACTGTATAAGCCAGCAGCGACTGATACGTGAAGATTTCTTGCTCCTTTCCAGTGCCGTTGCTTGGGAATGGCAGGGACCCCGTTGAAGTATCCCAGGAGATGCGCAGCCTCCATCAGCAGCTCGAACTCGAAACTCCAGGTAAAGAAATCGTGTCCGTTGAATGGTGATGATGTCTGCAGTTTAATCACATGTGAAAACTGCGCCTGGAGACTTAAAATCTCGTTTGGTGTTTGTTGTGATGCAGCTGCTGTTGGTTGGGCACGGGGCGGCATGAACTCGAACGTCCCCGGTGAAGAGTGATAAGGCGCAAAGGTAGGCGCTTGATTGTGTCGCCCGAACGATGAATTGTCGAGGCTCATCGGCGTTAATCCCATGTTTCCTCCATTGCTCTGTGTTGAATGCGCAAGTGTCCTTGTCTGCTGCTGCTGGTCGAAGTGCGACATGAAGCTGAAGAACCTTTCCATAAGGTTGGGGTCCACGCTTGAAGAGGGTGATGGAGTTACCATCTCTGGTGCTCTTCCTGTTGTTTCTTGAGCAGTCCCAGTCTCTGTCTGCAGTCCTGAGGCGTGTAGTCCAGAGTTGCCGTGTTGAGTTTCTTGGCCGCTGGGTGAGCCTGTAGAGATTTTCTTGCCCTTGCTGTCCATGTCTTGTAATCAATGAAGTCGTTGAATTGAGTTGAGTTGCAGATTGTTGATAGAGCGCAGTTGCTGGGAGTTTGGTCTCTGACCAGCTCTCATACCATGTTGGGCTGATAAAAGCCCTTAGGATCTTTTCAGAGACTAAGTCCCAGTTGTAGAATGAGACTTGAGTAGTGCAGCGGAAGTTGAGTAGTTGAACCCTTGTACTAGTATATGAGAACAAGTGATTGATTGAAGAAACAAGCATACAACAATATATAGGAAATAAGAAAGCAGTTGTAGAATACAGTTGCAGGAGCGGTTATCGAGTTGCACAGGCGACTCGATTGCCGCTTCGGTTACCATCCGCGATGCTGTAACTGTCAGTCGCAACCTCCAGTTGCGACCTTTCGGGTCCTTTCGCGTTCTTTGTTCGCCCCCCTCGTGTAACCTCCGTTGACTCGCGTACCCGTTTGCGATCTTCCTCGAGTGTAGTGTTACACTTCAGAAACGCTTAAGTCCTTTGAGATATTTCCAACATCTTCTACAGTAGGATTCGACACTAACTACACTTAATCGACTTACAGTAATGCTAAGTATCAATTATATCACAATAATTATGTATACCCCCCTTGTTTGAAGGGTGGGTTTTTATCTGGTGTGCGTGGGCTTTGCATGTGTGCAGTTGTGCTTTTCACATGAATATTACTAGTTTCTGTAAAAGGTTTGGCAAACTTTCGATATTACAGGTACTTGTGATCTTGATGAACCGTTTGGCAAAACTTTTCAAAACTTGACCATTTGTTGTGTGCAATATTACGCACCCAACTTGTGTGCATGGCAGTGAGATAGTGATTGGTATTGTGCTACTCCGGCGAATGAACAGGATCGAACTCCTTACGAACCCAGGGTGCCCCCCCCACCCCCACTCCGGCCCGCCATATGTTAAAACTTATTTTCTTAGCTTTAAGGATCTAATCTCTGACCGTAAGGCTAATAACAGGATATTGTGTACCGAGTTTGGCTCATTCTCCTGGCGCACCGCGGGCCATTGGAGTCTATCGCGTCGGGCACGACTCGGAATTTGTTGTGCAATCAGATAATTACTGCAGGAGCCTCTGAAAAGGCCCGAGCCTGTCAGAGTCATGTGCTTCGCTACTGGGGGTGCTTTGGCTGACCGAATTCGAATTCGCCTTGGAATTCCGTCCGCGCCCCAACCATCTCGCATCGAAGCGCGGTCACCGAGCCGCGAGCCCATTTCCAACATTCAGCAGCAGCAGGAACAGTCAGAACAGAGCCGGCAGTTGTTCTCCTTCCCACAGCATGCTTTCCAGATCGATTTACGCACCTGGCTCCACCCCGCTGCCCCTCCATCGCCGTATGACCAGTTTTACCCTGCCTTCCTGCCTCTCGCTACTCACTTGCGAAACAGACTGGGTGGTATTCCCTCCCGTGCGGTCACTTGCCTGCCTCACCCATCGTCACACCTACTTGCGCCTCACGCCTCTGCCTACCTCCAACCAAACTGATCCGAGCCTCTCTCACGCGGCGCGGCTGATCCACCGGCCGGCCGACACAGCCGCCAAGCTACCATGCCAGCACAAGCTAACCCGCACGAAATTCAAACCGTCACTGCTGTGTGCCCCTTCTCTCTCCCCCATTGATACCTCCCTCAAACATCCTTGTCTGCTTCAGAGCCTTCAACGACCCGCCTGCGTCCGTGCGTACTGCGAGCCACGCCTTAGATACCTTCCTGCCTCCATTGTCAAACGCGCCTTCATACCTGGCTTGTCGGTCATAGTAGTGAGCACACCCAAGCCTGACCGGACCAGGGTCGACTGCACCTTCCCCCTCCTCCCTCTCTCCCCGCCAGCTCCACCTTCCCTCAATCGTGCACGGAGGTCACACTCGGTCCTCTGCAGATTCGTTTTCCGTTTACCGACCGAGCCCAACCTCTAGACCTCACCACATAGCGTATGCTCTCTCTTCTCACGTCCCTCCACTTCTGCATCCTCGGCATCCTCAGCGTCCTCAGCCCGTTACGCTAGCCGCCTAACCACGTGGCCTCACCCACGCGTATAGTCTGCTACAACGAGCCATAGTTGCCGAGTCGAGCATACCGCCACCGCGCCTGCCCACGTCATAACCCTCACAACCGTTCGACTTCTCTCCAGCGCATTATTTACCGTGGCCTTTTTCGCACCCCCATCAAGTCGCTCTGCGCTCGGCTCTTCTCTGCCCCCACGTTACTGCCCTCAACGATGTTGAGCGCGCGAGGGCAGCGAACCCACGAAACTAGTAACCATTCGCGCAACCTTTCGCACAGCGCGTCCAGCCAAATGGCTCGCTGCTAGTTACCCCTGAAAGCGAGCGCGCAGCAGAGTGAGTCGTCGAGGCGCCCCTAACCTCCTGAAAGAAATCCCCTTCTCCTCTCCGCAACCCGAGACTCTCGGTCGCCGCTAACCTCTCCCGAATCCATCCTCTTTCGCTCGTGCTGCCGCTCGCAACTCAGTTCTACGGAAGATAAGCGAGCTAGTTCTAGGACACTGTCAGCCATGGCTGCGCGTCGTCGCGAGACCTGTCGGAGAGCCGCCCTTTTCCGCTCGGCGCTGCTGCAGTTGAGTGTGCTTCTACTCAATGCTCTTGTACTGAGTAAAGTTCTTGTGGCGGTGACCGCCGATAAATATGGTGATGGGTCGTCGTCGCTGCTCAACGAGATGACGTTTGAGTCGACTCAGACTCAAAAGAAGTCATCTGGATCATCGTCGTCGTCGTCGCTGTACAACGTCCGCCTACGTTCCGCGCCGCCAGTGCTCGCCTACCGCGGCGGCATCAGCGGATACGCCGCCACGGCCCCCGGGTTTTACGGCAACGAATACAACATGCTCTCGACAACGCTCTCCGCGCCCTCCTCCGCCATGGCGGAAACGGCGGAAGCGGCGGCGCTGAGCAGCGCCAGCGTGACCGGCGCCGGAAGGGGAGCGGAAGGGGGAAGCGGAGCGGCGGCGGAGGGGGAGGCGCGGATGCAGCGCGCGCCGAAGGTGAACATGAGGTCGGCGCAAGTGCGGCAGTTCTCGACTTACCTGCAGTGGCAGCAGGGGCAGATCGCGACGGACGTGGGCGTGGATCCCGAGAATATCGTGTACAAGTAAGGGCGGGGCAGACGAGGGGAGAGAGGAGCGAGGGGAGAGAGGAGCGAGGGGAGAGAGAAGAGGAGAGAGAGGGTAGAAGAGAGGGGGTGAAGTGACTCTGGGCAGAAGCAGAAGACTCTGGGACGGGAGCGAAGAGAATCGAGGCGGCCGCATTTCTTACCGCGAGGTGGTTGGGGTGGAAGGAAATTGGGGGGAGTCTATCACCCTTGCTCGCGTTTCTCACGCCCGTCGTCCCACTTCTCGCAGTCCGTCAACTCGTCCGCATTCCTTCACCACCCCTCCCTCCTGTTCACCGTCTCCCCCCTTTCCCCTCCCCTTTCCCCTCCCCTTTCCCCCCTCTTCTCCCTTCCCCTCTCCTCCCCTCCCCTCCCCTCCTCTTCTCCCTCCCTCCCCCCCCCTCCTCCCCGCCCCCCGCCAGGTTCACCTTCGTGAGCAACGGCTTCGCGGCAATGCTCTCGCCAGCGGAGGCGGAAAGACTGAGAAAGCACCCCGCCGTGGAGCGCGTGACGCCGGCATTCGAGGTGAAGCCGCTCACCACGCACTCGCCGAGCTTCTTAAAGCTGCCCGCGTCGCTGTGGCGCGCGAACGGCGGCGAGAAGAGCGCGGGGCGCGGCGTGGTGATCGGCGTGATCGACAGCGGGATCTGGATGGAGCACCCGTCGTTCGCTGACGGGGCGACCGGGAACGTGAGTAGCGGGGGAGGGGGATGGGGAGGGGGAGGGGAGGGGGAGGGGGAGGGGGAGGGGGATGGGGAGGGGGATGGGGAGGGGGAGGGGGAGGGGGAGGGGGAGGGGGAGGGGGAGGGGGAGGGGGAGGGGGATGTGAATCTGAACGGGTAGGGTATGCGAAGTTGGTGGAGAATGCGCGCATGCCTGCGCATTCATCCGCACACGTGTGTCTCTGCGCACCAATCCCAGCTTTCCTCTCCCCCTTCCCCACTCCCGCGCACTCCCCCCGTTCTCCTCTCCCACCCCCCCTACCCCCCTAACCCCCCTACCCCCCCTTCAGATCTCAACCGCGTATTCCGCGGCGCCATCGCAGTGGAACGGCCGCTGCCAGACCGCGCCGGACTTCCCCCGCTGCAACAACAAGGTCATCGGAGCGCGCGCGTTTAACGGCGGGTTCGTGCGCTACCGCGGCGCGGTCGACAGCACGCAGGACTACCTGTCGCCAAGGGACTCCGTCGGGCACGGCTCGTGGTGCGCGAGCGCCGCGGCGGGGAACGGGGGGGTTAAGGCCGTGAACAACCGGCGGCAGGCGATCGGCTCGACGAGCGGCATGGCGCCGCGCGCGCGGCTCGCGGTGTACAAGGTGTTTTGGAAGGCGAAGGGGGACAGTAGCGGGTCGGCTTCTAGCGTGGATATCGACGCGGCGATCGACGCGGCGGTCTCGGACGGCGTGGATGTGATTAGTATGTCGCTGGGAGGAGTTAATCCGTATGCTGGGTACTTCGACGATACTAACTTCCTCTACGCCAATCAGGTACTTACCTTTGCCGTTCCGCCGTTCCGCCGTTCCGCCGTTCCGCCGTTCCGCCGTTCCGCCGTTCCGCCGTTCCGCCCCTCCCTCCCGGTTCCCTACCCACTTGAATGCTCCCCCCCAGGCGGGCATCGTGGTGGTGTGCGCGGGCGGAACTAACCCGCGCATTCTTCTCCCCCGCCCCCCCCGTCCCCCCCAGGCGGGCATCGTGGTGGTGTGCGCGGGCGGCAACAACGGCCCGCCGCCCCTGACGTCGTCCATCTACCGCACCATCATGCACTTCTCGCCCTTCTACCTCACCGTCGGAGCAAGGTGTGTGCGTGTGCGTGTGCGTGTGCGCGTGCTTGTGCGCGTGCTTGTGCGCGTGCTTGTGCGCGTGCTTGTGCGCGTGCTTGTGCGCGTGCTTGTGCGCGTGCTTGTGCGCGTGCTTGTGCGCGTGCTTGTGCGCGTGCTTGTGCGCGTGCTTGTGCGCGTGCTTGTGCGCGTGCTTGTGCGCGTGCTTGTGCGCGTGCTTGTGCGCGCGCCTGTGTGTGCGCGCTTCCCCTCATGCATGCCCTGACGTCGTCCATCTGCCGCACCATCTCGCCCTTCTCGCCCTTCTACCTCCCCGCGGAGCAAGGTGGGGGTGTTTGAGGGTGCGCGATTCCGCGCGTGCTATGCTGCTGTGCTGCACTGCCCCCTCCCTCCCCCCCCCCCCCTGACTCCCCCTCCCGACAAATGGCAATGCCATGTGGACAAATGTCACACACCCATGGCTGATGCCCAATGCCCATGCCCCTACAAGGGCACTTGCGCGGATAGTATGCCCACTGCCATCCGTCGGACCCGTTGATCCACGCGCTCATCCTCCTCTTCCCCTCCCCCTCTTCCTCCTCCCCACACGATTCCCCCCATCCCCCCCTCCCTCCCCCCTTCCCCCCCCCGTCAGCTCCACGGACCGCCACTACACGTCGAAGCTGCGGCTGAGCACGGGCGCGAACCTGTGGGGCGCGGGCTTTGGCACGGGGTCGCGGAAGGTGCGGGGGGTCGCGCTGGTTCTGGCGCAGGACGCCGTGGCTTATGGCAACACCGCTGCTGATGTGAGTGTAGGGTATGAATGCGAAGTAAATATAAATGTTTTTAGCTCGCTGTAGGGTAGTGTTGCATGGTATGGTATAGTGTGGTGTAATTTGGTGTAGTGTGGGGTGGGGTTGCAGTGGGGAGCACGGGAGTGTGGAGGCTTGCTGATGCTCGTGCTGGATGCTTTCAGTGTGGCAACACGGTGAGAGAGATGTGAGCGACGGAGAGGAGAGGAGGGAAGAGGAGGGAAGGGGAGATGAGGGGAGGGGAGAGGAGGGGAGAGGGAGAGGAGGGGAGAGGGAGAGGAGGGGAGAGGGAGAGGGGAGAGGGAGAGGAGGGGAGAGGGAGAGGAGGGGAGAGGAGAGGAGGAGGGGAGAGGAGGGGAGGGGAGAGGGCAAGGAGGGGAGGGAGGAGAGAGTGGAGCAAAGCTAGTTTCAATATGCTCTTCTCCCCATAGCCTCCCCCACTGCCTGCATCCCTCCCCCGCTGCCTCCCCCTCTCCCCCTTCCCCCCTCCCCCACAGGCTAAGCTATATCTCCCTGGCACCATACATTCCCTCACCCTCAACCTCCTCCTTCCCCTTCCCCTCCCCTCCCCCTCCCCCTCCCTCTCCCCCTCCCCCTCCCTCTCGCCCTCCCCTCCCCCTCCCCCTCCCCCTCCCTTTCCCCTGCGTATCCCCTTGTTGGCCTCCAGGCGAAGCTGTGTCTCCCGGGCACCATTGATTCGACCAAAGCGGGCGGCAAGATCCTGGTGTGCACGGCGGGGCAGGCGTCGTTCGGCACGCAGGCGGACACGGCGGCGCTGGCGGGCGCCAAGGCGATGGTGCTGGTGAACGAGGCGGGCGGCAGCGACATCACGCTGGATATCTACGATGCCAGGCTCCCGATCCTGCACCTGGGGTTCAGAGAGGCGGAGAAGCTGCGCACGTACATGCGCACGACCAAGGGGTGAGCGGAACGGGGGGGAGCGGGTGGGGGAGGTGGGAGGGGGGGAGGGGCGGGGAGGTGGGGGGAGGTGGGGGATGGAGATGGGGGTGGGGTGGAAGTAGAAGGGGAAGGGGGAGGGGAAGGGGTGGGGGAGAGGGAGAGGGTGTGGTGTGCTTGTTGGGAGGATATGGTCGTGGGTGGAATTTTTTGAGTCGACTCAAAAGTCACCTATGGACGTGGGTGGAATCAAACAGGCGGAGAAGGTAAGGGAATATGTGAGAGGGACAAAGAGGTGAGGGGTAGAAGGGGAGGGGAGGAGGGGGAGGGGAGGTGTGGGTGGTTGGTTGGTGAGCAGAGTGGATGTGGATGGTTTCATGCAAGGGGATACGCTGCGAAATGGGGGCGTCAGGGCGAGGGTCTGGGTGGGGTTGAGATAGGGGAAGGGAGGAGAGGGGAGAGGAAGGCAGTGGGAGAAGAAACATGAATGCGGGTGGGAGAAGGGAGGGTAGAGGAAAAAGGAGATGGGGAGATGCGGGTGGCAGGCAGCAAGGTGGATGGATGGGAAAGGTCAGTGCTAGATGCAAACATTCTTGTGGACATCCTTGTGTGGACATTCTTGTGGACATTCTTGCCGCAGTGCAGTGCAGTGCAGTGCAGAGCAGAGCAGTGCAGTGCAGAGCAGAGCAGTGCAGTGCAGTGCAGAGCAGAGCAGTGCAGTGCAGTGCAGTGCAGTGCAGAGTGCAGTGCAGTGCAGTGCAGAGCAGAGCATTGCAGTGCAGAGCAGAGCAGTGCAGTGCAGAGCAGAGCAGTGCAGTGCAGTGCAGTGCAGTGCAGGAACGCCCGCGGCTCACAGCCGGATGGAAGCCTTCTCAGTCTTCTACAGGCGCATAGCACCTGCAACATCCCTCTCGCTCCTTTCCAAACCCCTAACCCCGCCCAAAACCCTCCCCCCCCCCCCCCCCCCTCTTCTCCCCTTCCCCAGACCCATCGCCTCCTATGCCGCCACCTTCTCGGTCTTCCACACGCGCATGGCACCCGCAACCTCCCTCTCACCCCCTTCCAACCCCCTCACCCCACCCCCCACCACCCCAGGCCCGTTGCCTCCTACTCCGCCACCTTCTCAGTCTTCTACAACCGGGTCGCGCCTGCCGTGGCGCCCTTCTCAGCTCAAGGCCCCGTGGTGAGCCCCTCCTCCGACCCCCGCGTACCCGGCCCAACCAATGACATCCTCAAGCCGGACGTCGTTGGCCCGGGCCTCTTCCTCTGGGGCGCCTCCCGAAGCAGCAGCAGAGGCTCCGCAGGGAAGCCGGGGTATGACATGCTGATGGGGACATCCATGGCTGCGCCGCACGTGGCGGGGATTGCGGCGCTGATTGTGCAGAAGCACCCCAAGTGGTCGCCGGCGCAGGTGATGTCGGCTATTATGACGACGGCTAGCAATGTGAACAACAAGGGGAGGCCAATCGGGCGGTTTGTGGGCGGGGAGAAGGCAACGCCGTTTGAGATCGGGTCGGGACACGTCAACCCCCCGAAGGTTTCCGACCCCGGGCTGACTTATAACCTTGGGCTGGGAGACTACCTAAACTTTTTGGCCGGGCAGAATCTGACCGAGGTGCAGGGGTGGAAGATTAAAGCCGTGAAAGCAATTCCGGCGTACAATCTGAACTTGCCGTCGATCTCGGTGTCACGGCTAAGGAAGCAGGTAGTGGTCCGGCGGACAGTGACGAACATGGGCTTGAAGACGGCCACGTACCGAGCCAAGGTGGTAGCTCCGGAGAACGTGCGGGTGGTGGTGACGCCGAGCCAGTTCACGATAGGCGTGGGAAAATCGGTGAGCTTTTTGGTGGCTATTACGGTGGTGAATCCCACGGGAAGCTTCTCGTTTGGGAGCCTGACTTGGGAAGATGGCGCCGGGCATGCTGTGCGGTCGGTGCTGGCAGTGCAGCCGATTGCAAAGTGAGAGTGCAAAGGGGGCGCTGGCAGTGCAAAGGGGGCGCTGGCAGTGCAACCAATCGCCATGCTAGCCGTGCGACTAGTAGTGCAAGCTGACTGGCAGCGGGCATGCTGTGCGGTCGGTGCTGGCCGTGCAGCCAATTGCAAAGTGAGGCTGGAAGGGGGCAGGGGGTGGGGAGGGAAAGAGGTTCTTGGGGATGCTAAGTGACAAAGGGATGAGGAATTGGGTTCCCAAGGAGGGAGGGATGAGAAGTGATGGTGGCAAGGGGGGGATTACACTGATAGTGTTTGTGAAATGGTCTTGGATAGACCTGATTGAGAATTGATAACAGAAGGGTATGCTATGCTAGTCGTGGTCTCAGCAGCAGTGTAAGCTGACTGACTGGTGGTGAATGGAGGGGCCGAAGAGGAGGAACATTGGGGGTGAGAGAGAGGAGGGAATGGGTGGGTGTCATTCATGGTGGCAGCTGAGGGATGAAGGAAGAATAGTGGCCGGGAAAGGATAGGATACTGGTAGGATATGTGAAGGTGGAGAAGCAAGTTTCTCCTGGAGGTGTGGATACTGGGCAGCAAGTATTTACCGTAGTCTCTATATGGGGCTCCTCTTACTATACGAGGCAGGGCATTGTGCTTGTTGCCTGCGGGGCTAGTAAGCTGGATGAGAGCATTAACAGACTTGTTGGAAATATCTCAAGGACTTAAGCGTTTCTGAAGTGTAACACTGTACTCGAGGAAGATTACAGGGGAGCACGCGAGTCAACGGAGGTTACACGAGGGGGCGGACAAAGAATGCGAAAGGACTCGAAAGGTCGCAACTGGAGGTTGCGACTGACCGTTACAACATCACGGATGGTAACCGAAGCGGCAATCGAGTCGCTGTGCGACTCGATAAACCGTTCCTGTAACTGTATTCTACAACTGCTTTCTTATCTACTATATATTGCTGTATGCTTGTTTCTTTAATCAATCACTTGTTCTCACATACTAGTACAAGGGTTCAACTGCCTCAACTTCCGCTGCACTACTCCAAGTCTCAAGTCTTTACAGCTGGGACTTAATCTCTGCAAAAGATCCTAAAGGGTTTTTCTCAGCCCAACATGGTATGAGAGCTGGTCAGAGACCAAACTCCCAGCAACTACGTCCTATCAACAACCTGCAACTCAACTCAATTCAACGACTTCATTGATTACAAGACATGGACAACAAGGGCAAGAAAGTCTCTACGGGCTCACCCAGCGCCCAAGAAACTCAACACGGCAACTCTGGTCTGCACACCTCAGGACTGCAGACAGAGACCGGGACTGCTCAAGAAACAACGGGAAGAGTACCAGAGATGGTGACCCCGTCTCCCTCTTCAAGTGTGGACCCGAATCTCATGGAGAGATTCTTCAGCTTCATGTCACACTTCGATCAGCAGCAGCAGACAAGGACACCTGCGCACTCAACACAGAGCAATGGAGGGAATATGGGATTAGCGCCGATGAGCCTCGACAACTCATCCTTCGGGCGACACAATCAAGCGCCTACCTTTGCGCCTTATCATTCTTCGCCGGGGACGTTCGAATTCATGCCCCCCCGTGCCCAGCCAACAGCAGCTGCTTCACAACAAACACCGAATGAAATCTTAAGTTTACAGGCGCAGTTCTCACACGTGATCAAACTTCAGACATCCTCACCGTTCAACGGACACGACTTCTTTACCTGGAGCTTCGAGTTCGAGCTGCTGATGGAGGCCGCGCATCTTCTGGGATACTTCAACGGGTCCCTGCCATTCCCAAGCAACGGCACTGGGAAGGAACAAGAGATCTTCACGTATCAGTCGCTGCTGGCGTACACGGTACTCCTGAGAAACCTGTCACCACAAGAGCAGCAGAGCATCAGAACGTATCGGAGTTATGGAAACTCCGCGGAGCTCGCATGGCACCACCTCAAATGCCTTTACCAAGCAAACGACAGCGTGACACAAAGCAGACTCATGCAACAGCTGACAACAATACAGATGAAGACCGGGGAAAAGGCGATGCAGTATATGAGTCGCTGCCAGACCCTCCGCGACCGCCTGCTTCGGTGCGGAGGAACGATCACTGAAGAAAGCTTCGTGACACTTGTCCTCGCCGGGCTCGGGCCTGAATGGAGAACCACACGATCACTTCTTCGAGCCCACGGAAGAATTTCGGAGATGCACCTCTGCGCCGAGCTTCACGCTGAACAACAGGAGATGGATCTGTTCGAGGAAAGACAACCAAGGAAGCAACAGCAGTTAGTCTTCTACACTCAAAGAAGAAATGACAACAACTACAACCGACGCAGCAAGCAAGATCAACGCGACAACCGAGGACTCACCATCGTGCCGCCGTTCTGCCACAACTGTCAGACTTCCGGGCACTCCAAGGTCAACTGCAACCGCCCTCGCGTTTACCGTGCAGCAGACCCACAAGTCGCTTCCACTCAAGCAAGTCCTCCAAGGCGCTCTTCAACATCTGCACAACAAACACCCAACATCATCAACTGCATGGTACACATCGACAACTGCGCACCCGCTTCACCACCCACTTACGCACCAGACGAAGAGGAATTCCCGCCGCCGCGCTCGCAAGGACTTCAGGTCAACCCGACATACGCTGCAGTCGCTAACGCCGAACCCACCGGGCGGAACACCTGGTTCTTGGACAGTTGCTGCGGTCAGCACATGTGCTCCTCCGGACGCTTCGTACAACACGAGCGACGCCTCAACCGTGACGTCGTCATCACCGTCGCCAACAACGAAAACCTGAAAACAAATAGACAAGGCGTGGTTCAGTTACAATCAATGGAGACAAACGTTATTCTTCAGCTCAACAAGGTCCTCATCGTCGACAATCTGGGATACAACCTATTAAGCGTAAGCCAACTAATGGCTAAGGGGATTCACCTGGAGTGCGACTCCTTCTCCAACGAGTTCCGACTTTACCACGGGAAGGGCGGTCTCTTCATCGGTCGTGCCCTCCTGAAGTCCGGTGTCTTCGTGTTGGACTTCGTCCCCGACCGCGGAACTGCCGACAGCGACGGTATCGTATCTTTCGCCGCCTGGACTCATCCGCCAGATCTTGATCCCGACTTCGACAGCGACGGCTTCTGGCACTCCAACACCATACCTGCAGCAGAAAGAACACGAGCATTAGCAGTTATCAGACAAGAAAGACAAGTACCCGCATGTGTCCCAGCAAAACCATCACCTGCAGTATCGGCAGCAGGACCCAGCCGAGTACCACCACCAGCGACACGAGGACAGCCAACCGAAGCAGACCAACTTATGCCCGCCACACGAGAAGCTTGTCGAAGTCCCGCCTCGGTCGTCGCGTTCTTCTCCAACGCCGACATCTACCACCGCTCGCCCGGTCACCGCGCTCCCGACGACATCTGGCACCAACGTCTCGGACATCCTGCAAACAGCACGATACTTCAAACAATCCAAGCAGAAGTGTTAGAACGCAACGCCCTTCTGACGACGAGCGGCCAGGAACTCCGACGACCACGCGCACGGTGTTTCACATGCCCCGAAGCAGATCTTCCTCATCAACCTTTCCCAGCCCATCACAATCCAAGCGCACCCACTTACGCTCCGATGGAAAAGGTCTACAGCGATATTCTAAACATGCCTCGAGACGACACCGAAGCCGACTTCAACTACGTCATCACGTTCATCGACGCCGCAACCAGATACGTCTGGCACTTCAATCTCAAAACGCGCGATCAAGCCTTCGAGGCATTCACCACATGGCTTCCAATCGCCGAACGAGAGTCAGGAACCAAACTCAAGAGTTTCCAGTCAGACGGTGCACAACGCTTCAGGACCTATCTCGCGGAAAGGGGAATCCGACGCCTGGTGTCTCTGCCTTATGCTCACCAGCAGCAGGGGGTAGCAGAACGCATGAACCGGACCTTGCAGACGACGATGAGAAAACTGCTTCTGGGGATGAGGCTGCCCAACGCACTGTGGCCAGACGCGATGACACATGCAGTCCACCTGCACAACCTGTTGTCCTCGTCATCGCTCCCCAACAACGCATCACCACACCTGCTGTGGACGGGAAAAAGGGGCAGCACAAAATTACTTCGAGTTTTCGGCTGCATGGTACAATACAGACCCCACACAGCTCGAGCAGGACGCTTCACTCAACGAGCTCGGTGGGGACTACACCTCGGCATCGCCAAACATTTTCACGCGTGGAAGATCCTCGACATACAAGACAAAAATACGGTGGCATCACGTGATGTTATCTTCTACGAGCGACTGACGCTGCAGCATTACCTGGACAACATTGCCAACTCAGACGACCCCACCGACGGCTTCGCGGGCCTTCGCTCCTTCGCTGACCCTGCTGCCGAGGCTGACGCAGCAGAAGAAGACGTACCTGGAGCCTCGGAAGCTGCCGGCCACTCCCATTCTGTTCCATACCTGTTCCACTCGATGAAGATAATCCCCTCGATAGCAACAACCTCGACACCTTTTACCACTTCGCCGACCAAGGTTACGCTACACCGCACCCCGTCGACACGAATATTTCGGAACGCATCGGCCCCAATTTCTTACCTGACCCCGAAGACGGTGACGAAGCAGCTTATTCGGGAATGACAATTCCCCTCGACACACACCCACGGGACTCCAGATTCTAGGCCTCTGGGTCTCCGTCCAGCATCCGCCGCCGCCTTCTACGCGTGAGCCTTCAACCTTGTCGCAGGCTCTGGGGGGGGAACATAAGGCAAAATGGAAAAAAGCGATGGAAAAGGAGTTAAAAGCTCTGCAAGACCGAGAAACATGGAAACTGGTACCTGCAACGAGCATCAACGGGAAGAACGTTCTCTCGGGGAAATGGGTGTACCGCATCAAGACCAACTCAGACGGCTCCATCGAACGATTCAAAGCTCGATGGGTCGTACGAGGCTTCGATCAACGATACGGAACCGACTACACAGAAACCTTCGCCCCAGTCTCCCGTCACACCTCATTACGCATCCTACTCGCCGTCGCGGCCACAAAAACACTACCACTACGCCAAATCGATGTCGCGAATGCGTTCCTATACGCACCTGTGGACGCTGAGATCTTCGTCGAACAACCCCACGGATTCATCGACGACCCCACGAAAATATGCCGACTGACAAAATCCCTATACGGGATCAAGCAAGCCCCGCGGCTCTGGCAGCAGCATCTTCACAGCCGTCTCGTAAAAATCGGCTTCCTACAGCTGCCGCATGACCAAGGGATGTACCGACTGCAGAAGGGAAGAGAGTATGTTCTGCTCATCGTCTACGTCGACGACCTGCTCTACATCGGCTCAACTACCGACATCGCCACCTGGTTCGAAGGGGAGCTGAAAGAAGATTTAACTCTCACGGTGTCCGACGAAGTTACGCAGTACCTAGGACTGAACGTCGTCGAAGACGACACGGCGTTCTACCTACACGCTGGAAAGTACTCAAGCACCGTCGCGAAGAAATTCGCTCTAACACCGACTGCGGTCCCAACTCCCTACCGCTACGGGAACAACGGCAGCGCCTCTACAAAACTCCCCGCGAAACAAATCCAGGAGTATCAACAGAAGCTCGGCTGCCTACTATTCGCAGCAGTAACCTGCCGACCCGACCTATCCTATAGTGCGAGTCAGCTGGCGACACATCTGAAGCATCCGCAACAGGAAGATCTCGAAGAACTCAATCGAGCGCTACTCTACTTCGTCTCCACGCCGACGATCGGGCTTACCTACAGCAAGGCAACAACACCGTCCGTACGACTACTCGGATACGTCGACGCCGACCACGCGGGAGACAGCGAAAATCGACGGTCTAGGACGGGCTACATCTACCGACTAGAACCTATCGGAACTATCTCCTGGCAGTCGAGCAAGCAGGAGTTAATCGCACTATCCTCGGCTGAAGCAGAGTATATCGCCCTTTGTACTGCGACCAAGGAAGGACTCTACCTACGAGAGTTACTCGAAGAAGCGAAGATCGCGACCCTGCCCGCCTTCTCACTCCTCTGCGACAACCAATCTGCGATCAAAATCGCGAACAAGGACGGCTTCGCCAATCGAACCAAGCACATCGCCCTGCGGTACTTCTTCGTCAAGGATGAAATCGCGAAGGGGAGACTTCAACTCAGTTACTGCCCGACGACAGAAATGGCCGCAGATTATCTGACGAAGAAATTGGCGAAAGCAAAATTCGACTACTGCATGCTCCTAACCGGGCAAACAAACGCCACCAGATCTGAACACTCCAGCACTCCAGAAACGAAGGGGAGTGTTGGAAATATCTCAAGGACTTAAGCGTTTCTGAAGTGTAACACTGTACTCGAGGAAGACTACAGGGGAGCACGCGAGTCAACGGAGGTTACACGAGGGGGCGGACAAAGAATGCGAAAGGACTCGAAAGGTCGCAACTGGAGGTTGCGACTGACCGTTACAACATCACGGATGGTAACCGAAGCGGCAATCGAGTCGCTGTGCGACTCGATAAACCGTTCCTGTAACTGTATTCTACAACTGCTTTCTTATCTACTATATATTGCTGTATGCTTGTTTCTTTAATCAATCACTTGTTCTCACATACTAGTACAAGGGTTCAACTGTCTCAATTTCCGCTGCACTACTCCAAGTCTCAAGTCTCTACAAGCTGGGACTTAGTCTCTGCAAAAGATCCTAAGGGCTTTTCTCAGCCCAACAACATCGTTTGCATCTCATTCCATCGGGCTAAGCTGAGACATGGGTAGGGACGTTCGCCGATGGCGAGCGAGCGCTTGAGAAAGTTGTGAGGTGACAACGCCGACGCAAGGGTATGTACCTCGCGGGAGGCCGATACTAGTTGGTCGGCAGCACGCGTAAAGTACATCACTTTCGTCTTGTCACTGCGCCATCTGACAAGACGTTTGAAAAGCCGGTCCGCAATGTCTCCATGGGCGCTAACAGTCGCGACACCTTTGCGAAACGAGTGGGTGCCGAGATGAGCAGCCACATCATGTCGTCCTCAAACTGAATATCCTCCCAGTTGATGGCCACGAGGTCAGAGTAGCGCAAAAATCCAACGTATATGAGGATTGGACTGTGACCTTTCTGAAAGGTAGCTGTGTCGTCAGTGCTGATGAAGTGAGAAGCCATCGCGTGCAGTTCGTGCTGAGAAACCGATTCCTTGGTTCAGTTGGGTCGAAGGCATCGCCGCTTTGCAAACTCTCAAACGTGTGACGTGAAGGGGCCGGTACTAGGGCAAAGTTCCCCAATCATGCGGTGTGGAAAGCTAACGGCCGAGCAGGTACAGTAAGTTGGATCACCGAAAGAGTGGCCTTAATTCGAATGGCGTAGACTGCGGTGGACTGCGGTGATTATTTGGGGCGAAGGGAAGGTGAAACCGTGTTCGTCCGTCCAAGAAATTGTGAAGGCATTGATCGCTGTGGCCGAGGAGTGCGGGTGTTCAGAGCAGAAACGACTCAACTTGATATTGCTAGCGTTGGCGAAGAGGTCTATAGATTGGGGGCCTAAGCGTCGTTTCAGAAGGTTAAACCACGACGTCTTCAATGTGTAATCATCACGATCGAGTATTTTTTAGAGTTCGTCCGCGTGCGTGTTGAGTTCGTCAGGGATCCATTCCATGAGGAGGCGGACTCGGTAGGTAGTACACGTGCGGATGATGGATTTGCAGGCGAGGTTGAGATCAAGGCTGCATGAGTCACCCTTCTTCAAGATGAAAAAAACTCCCTGATTGTCCACGTGCACGAGCACGTGTTTGTTCCGGAGTAGGTCGCTATATGTCTGCAATGCCCACAGTACCCCTTCAAGCTCGCGATGAGTGCTGGAAGTGTATCGCAAATTGACTGGCATGTTCATGCTGGCTTTATGAATGTTGCCGGAGAATGTGTCGAGATTCACCCCCCAGCCGTGGCCGCTTGCATCGCCATGAATGATAGCATCGTAGCTGCATCGCATATGAAAGGGCACGCCATTGCAGAATTCCAGCTCCTCGGAAACGGAAGGCGACAACAGTACTTTGTTGTTCCACGAAGAAGCGGAATTGATGGTATACAATAGCGCGTGGCTGTAAGCCCGAGCAGTGGCCCCGAGTGCGAGTGCCATTGAAGCGAGCATGCCTATAACACGCGCGACATGCCAGACGGGGACCTTGCACTGGTTGCGTCTAGCTTCCAGGAGTGAATGGATAGTAGATTGTAGGGAGTTGCGTCGTTC